TTCATTGATTTACGCAATGCTCCTAAGTAAAAAGAAGAAAGAACTTTTCTTGAGGTGTTAAAGAGTTTTTCAAGTACTGGTACGAGTTTCTCACCTGGACTCGGACTGTGACTTCTTCAATGGAAATAAGTGCTACATAGCCCATGTGTACTATTTCTTTACAACATCTGTCTTGATTTCCAACATCTTGGTTTACATTGGTAGCTACTCGCGGGCATGGTCCCCCTCGCTGGCAGTATTTATATTTGCTGAGTCGTCCAATAAAAAGTGAATCGGGGCTTCTATGACATTAGCTGTGAATCTATCTAGCTAGATCCTCGAAAATAGGCTATATGTGTAGGGAAATTTTCTTGTAGTAGTCTTTTTTTTTTGTCAAAATTAAGTTTCTCTCTCTCTTTCTCTCTCGAAAAATATGGTCACTTAGTCATGTAATACAACAATAGTGCTCTTTTACTAAATTGTCTTCCGGCAAATCTAGACGAAGTCGACGAGATTTCGATAATATATGATACATTGACAAGGAGACCATAGTATCTAAATAGACCAAAATTCTCATCAACTTTGCCTAATTTGAAAATACAAATGCTTCGAACTTGTGTAAAAGGAATTACACTAACGAAAAGAAAAGGACATCTTTGAAAGAATAGACAAAAAATTAGAAAAAGTTCACATTATTTAAAAAAATTGAAAAGCGGTGGACAGTTTCACCTTTTTTTTTTCTAAAGTAACATATCATTGTGCATGTTTGGCAAAATTTATAATTACTTATAAATAAGTTAAACTCTACTTGTGAATCACTTATGTAGTAAGATCCATAACTATTACCTACTTATACGAACTTATAATAAATTATTTATCCCTATATATAACGATAGATACGTGTATGGGCTGTGTATGTATATCATGAGAGGAGGGGGGGGGGGGGGGGGAAGGAGGGGCGGGGGGGGGGGGGGGGGGAGAGATTCACGTTGACAACCCCAAAATTGAGAGGCATGTAGAAAAGCATCTCTTACAGCTAGAGAAGCCCACATACAGCGAAGCGAAGCACACACGTAAAAGAAACATTAGTAAAATTAATGTTTTGTAGGACAACCAAACCCACCCCCACCCCACAAAAATATATACATACATGTCTATATATAGAGAGAAGAATAGTCGTGGAGTATATAATAGACTATTCATATTTTATAAAGAGAGAAGATGTGACTAGTCTTCTCATCATCATCGATTGCGTATTAACATTACTCACTTCTTTCTCTCTCTCAAAATATATGGACAAATAAATATAAATAAGCGGTGCCAATTGTGTCTTTCATGTTTATACCTACCTACCTTACTTTTGTCACCTCCTCATTCTTCCTAATACGTTTAAACATCTTGTTATGACCATTATACCCTCCACGAATTATTGATTCGCCGCGTTATTTCTTATCTAACTTTAAGACGCAATAATAGAATTTCGATATAAAATAATTACTTAAAAGTAAGTGAAAATCAAAATATTCTGTGGCCTCGAGGAATTTATGCGTATAAATAATTGAATCCCCCACGTTGTTTCTTATCTAACTTTTACACGTAATTACACATTGTAAGGATGTGCTTTTCATTCCCATAAGCGTGTAATTATTGTTGATTGAAGTATTGAATAGTTTACACTAAATGGGATCCACTTGTTTGCACTATTTATGGTCGGTCCAATTCTATGGTAATTTCCTTTTCCTCTTTTCTATGTGTTTCTTTGAGATTTTTGGGGTTTGGGTGGGTGTAGGGTAGGGGACCTAGTAGTTAAAGGTTGAAGAAGTTAGGATTTTAATGTTATATTTGATTTGATTTTTTTTTTTGTTTGTTTAAATAAAGTAGTTTTTCGACCAAAATTTATATTATGTACGTCAATTAGATGAATTTAATTTCTGAAACTAAAATTTACGATTCCGACGAAAGAATTTCAACCGTTGGATTTCTGTTCTATGGAAATTTAAATGTCCGTAGATGTAATATTATAAATTGTATAATCAATCGATAAAAGATCATATTGAATGTCATCTTTGTGTCGATCAAACTATCTTCTAATATTTTAAATCGAAACATGGAAATGACGAAATAATCAATCTTACTATTATTGTGTACATATAAATAAGATAAAGGTATTATAATTTAATTGTTAAAAATTCTGGTGCGGTTAAGAGCTATATATCTTTTTGAATTTTCCTCTTATCTTCTACGTGTGATGTGTTAGCGGTGTAAGGATGTGCTTTCATTCAAATTAGCGTGTAATTATTGTTGATTGGTGCATTGAATAGCATGCATATAATGGGTCCACTTGTTTGCATTATTTAGGAGTTGGGTCCATTCTTTGGTATGTTTCATGAGAGTAATTAAATTATATTATTTGTAATTTTCTTGAGAATAATTAAAATAAGTTATTTGAAATCATGCAAAAAAATTAGGGTTTGCTATACACATTATCTTGACCGCAAAAGCTTTGAATTTGAGGCCTAACCTTGATCTATCTTTTTCTACCACTGAACTAAACTATGGCGAGCTCAATCAAGTAAGAATAACTTTGAGAGATTGCTCAATTGGTCAGATTTTGAATTTGCTCTCCAATGATCACCAGTTCGAGTCCCCTCAAGGCCATTGGGGTAAGTACCCGATCGTAAACTTCAAGGTCTCGTGGGATTAGTCGAGGTGAGCTCAAACTGATCCGGATATCCACAGTTATAAAAATAAAAAATAAAGTAAGAATAAGAACGGAAGTCGGGCCATACGATATTTTTAAACGAATTGATTTTGGTATGGATGAGATGAATTGATTAGTGCAAGTCCGCTCATTATGACACCTATACATCTTAATGTATTAAATTAAACATTATTTAAAATCACTTCAACAACGTCAAATTTAACTAGTAACAAATGTTCTCTAATGATTTACTTAATTTTAACTGTCATTGAATGAATTTCTAATCATGGCTTAAGTAAAAATTGTAATTATGAAAATAAACAAATAAATAAAAAGTAGGACGTTGTTCAAGATAAACTAATTTTTTTTTTTTTGGGATAACCGTGAATGTTCGACTAACTTGTGCATATCTCGACTAATCCCACGGGGCCCTGAAATTTACGACCGGGTACTCACCTCAGTAGCCCCGAGGAGACTTGAACCGATGATTATTGGGGAGCAAACTCAAGGTCTAACCAATTGAATAACCCCTCAAGGTTAACAAAAACTAATTTTAACTTGTGAAAATTTAATTTGATGCTTATTTTATAACTACAATGTAAAATTGGTATGTTTCTTTAGTCATCACAGTATATTTATAGAAAAAGAATAAAATACACAGAAAACCCTGAGGTACGTGAAAATTAAAGTCATCTCAATAATATTTTTGGCCACATTACCTTTTCTTGAAAAATTAAACAAAATTCAATATATTCATATTGATATTTTTCTTAGAAGAAGTTAAACATAATTTTATTTAAACATTATAGAAATTTATAATGATATTTCTTAAAAAATAATCCCATTAAATAAAAAACACACAGAGAGAAATTCCTTAAGAAATTCATTAAATTTAGACATGCCACGTTAGTACATGTGACATTGGGGCCACACAAGAAAAAAATCAGGTATGTACCTAATTATATATGGTAGGAAAAAATTCAACAATCAAACAATAATTTATCGTAATTAATAAATTCTATTATTAAATTATAAACAAAGTTGTCAATATTAAATGAAAAAATATCCACTGTCTGAAGATTTATCTTTGATACACTCAACAAATAACAATATATCTTTTCATTGGCCATCAAAATTATATGATAAGCACTGACCAAAATGATATCAGAAATCTTCTATATATTTATTATATTAATCTAACTATCCATCTGTAATTGATTTATTAATTAAAATATTAAATAATGATTAATAAAAGATGAGACAGCTATAATTCCAAGTTAATTTAATGACAATTACATTTACCTGTGACTGATTGCTACATTTTAAAGCTTGTAATTATAATCCTCGTAAAATTTGTCAAGACACTTGTTATTATCAATATTTAAAAGTCGGCCTTAAAAGTCAAGATTAAAGCATCGAATCGAGGTGAACGAATGACAAAAAGTATTTATACGACATCTAACCAAATTGGTTTTCAACGATGTCAAACCAACAGGTATGATGATAATAAAATTTTCTAATTACCGATAATCAATTTAGGATCTTTAGGTATAGATCTCGTAGAATGTGCTTATGATGGAAAAATATGAGTTAGGAGTAGGTGGTAACCGTTGGTGTATCATGTATGTTCATATAAGAGTATGTGCTTGCTTTAGCATCAAATCAAAATGATAGGATTTGAAATTGTGATCATCTGTATCCAGACCAGAGACGGATTTACGGGGGGACTGGGCCGGGCTGTCCTGACCCCTTTTCTTTTTGTAGTGAAAAAAAAAATCTTGTAAATTTTTTTTTATGTGTAAATTAATTTTTTTCTACGTATTAGCCCGACTTGTAATCCGATTCTAGATCCGTCCCTGATCCAGACCGCACTACACATCGTCTTCCCACCTTGGAACATATAGATCCATTCTATCGAGAGTCAAATTGAACTCGTCCACCCTTTTGGGCACAAGAACACGATAACCAATCCAAGTATGGTCATCGTATAAGCTGAGGCGGAGCTAGGGGGGAAAAACACAGTTCCATTAAAATATATATTTTTAACAAGTTGGCTTTGATGCGGGCCAGGGCCCGCCCCTGCGTATAAGAGTATTTTTCTAATGATCAATTGTAATTAAATTTGATTCCATTTATTATGGTAGGTTGGAAACCTAACAGAATGTGTCAATTTACTTCAATTCATAAATGACTGCCTGATAGTATGACCTACATCTAACAAGTTTAATACAACCATGGATCCCACCTTAAAATAATGAAAATTTCAAGGCTAACTTTTTCTAATCAACCAATGATCAATCAAGTTTTATCTAATTGCAAAATGCTCGATGGAGTCAGTCTTGTTACTATCATTGAATTAGAATTGACTGATGTAAAAGGCCCTTTGAAAAATTATGGTACTCGAGTCGGCCAAATTTTACTTTACTTATCTTTACTCGTGGTGAAGTATTTAGTTGATTGAAAATACCAATTTATTCTCAAATTTAAATGAAAAATAGATACAAGAATTAGGGGTGGCAAAATGTCCAGCCATACCTTGCATTGTCTTTCCCGAACTCTTAATTCTTTATTTTTCAATTTTTGTATTTAAATTGTATTTTAAAATAAATAAACAAACAAATAGGAAACCAGGGAAGAAATTGAGTATATTTTAATCCTTGATCAGGTGGGGACGAGAAGGGACTTTTCGCTCTTGCTCCGTTGTCATCCCTAATAAGAATGGAAGACAGGCCACGAGAGTGGGGTTCGGCTTCGGATGTGTGGATAAGCTATGAAGATACCGTGAGTAGTTGGGATCGTACATTTATTTATTTATTTTCTTTATTTGAATTTTAAGGCAAATTCATTTTGCCACCAAATGAAAAACTCAAAACTACTATTATGAAAGCTCCATTTTTTTTTTTTCAAAACTCATTTTTTTTCAAAAATTCATTTTCAACCGTACATTATTTCATAAAATAATTTTACATGTAAATCTAATTTTTTTATTTTATTTTATAAACACATATTCGTCAAAAAAGTCACATTTTCAAATCTTTTTTTTTCCCCGAAAAATAGGGCTCAAAGAGGGCAACGGTGAAGAACAAAGTTTAATGTAGAAAATGTATTAAAAAAATTCACAATTTAAAACAATGCGCGCAAACTTATCAATGACTTATAAGTTATTCACTTACAATTAACCAAGGGCATTTTCGTCAACTCATCAAACAGTTAGAAAAAAGAAAAAGAAAAAAAAGGTATCCCATGTTATTTTTTTAAAAAAAGGTGAATGGAATACACGTTAGGGGTATTATGGACAATTGAACAGCCATTGAAATCCAAAACACCCAAAAAGCAAAGCGTGACCTACATGGGCCGGCTTTTAACTATATTTAGCTGGACAGACAAAAACTATAGAGAAATGCTATTCATCTCAATTGAGAATGTATTCTTAGTCTATGTGGTATTAATGTGACATTAAATGATAGGTGAAATTAAATAAGTCATTTAATTTCACATATCATTTAACCAATTATTTATATCTACATAAACTGAGAATGCATCCCCACTGTGGATGAATAGCATTTTTCAAAACTATAACATATTATCACCCTCGTCCCTTTCCATCTGCAACCCTTTTTTCCTTCTCTCTATACATACACCTATATAATCATTGACCCTATTAAAAGTACATAATCATTTAAATAGTACATTACATAATTGACATATGACGTGCGCATCCATCGGTAATATACAATATTTGACTTTTTCACACTTCACGTCCACGACTGGATTTCTTTCACATGAACCTATGTAATTCATTATGTACAATAATTATGTACATATAGATTTATCATACAATCATACCCATAAACTTTTTGTTTTTGTACGTAATATTATAGATATTTATCTGTCTGTTCTATTTACAGTGTGAACTTTCAAGTGTTGTTTTAAACTTTTCTTACCAAGAGGGGAAAAAATGGTAAAGATTCTTTAGCTGACAAAAAAAAGGGAAAATATTCTGTTTTTAATTTATTATTTTACGGCGTGAGATCCCCACACAAATACATTAATAAATTCACCCCACCCAATCTTGATAAAACCCGCAGAATTCACCATCTTTTTTTGATATATTTTTATTTTTCAGCTGTAATTGGCAAGAAGAGGGGACTGGGACTGGAACTCCTCTTCATGATGCTTGGTGATTCAAGCGGCGGCGTGAAGGGTAATGAAAGTGGTGAAGTTGGGCTTGGAAGCGGTGGTTTTGAGGAGGAAGATAAGTTGGGAACTGAAGAAGGTGATAGGAGTGGTGGCGGCGGCGGAAACCGGTGGCCGAGGCAAGAAACGCTAGCCCTTTTGAAAATTCGATCTGATATGGACGTTGCTTTTCGGGACTCAAGTCTCAAGGGTCCATTATGGGAAGAAGTTTCAAGGTAATAATTATGAATAAATTCCTCTTCCAAACGCACACACATAGAGACTGATAAAAATGAGCATCACAAATATCGAGTTCGAGGTTGATGTTAGGGATCCTCAGTAGGCAACCGAGAAATGCTCGAGGATCCCTAGCACATTTATTTTTGGACTTCATCGAATTCAAAATTAATCTTCCTGAGTTTGTTGTAAAAGGTATTTCAGGATCATAATTCCATTGAATTATTGCTTTTTTGGATTGAAGGGTCATTATCTTTCAGTTCAGTTCACAAAAAATCAGCAGTTCTTCAGGAATATAAAATTCCGGTTTTTGCTTTTCAGTTTTGGCACTTTGTTGCTAATTATAGCAATGAAGTTAGATTGTTTTTCCCAACTTTAACTTTTATCTTCATCTTAAAGTTTTCTTCTTTAGATTTTCAATATAATTCAGCAAAATCTGCAGAAAAATACAAGTTGTTGCACTATGATTTGGTTGGATTAATCTCTCGACTTTTATCTGAATGATTGATTTAGTTGATTTTCCGCGTTGATTTTAAGATGTCGTAAGAACACAAAGGTCTATGTTTTTTTTTTTTTTTGGAAATTTTGTTATCAGGAAAATGGCGGAGCTTGGCCATCAAAGAAACCCCAAGAAATGCAAAGAGAAATTTGAGAATGTGTACAAGTACCACAAAAGAACTAAAGAAGGTCGATCTTCAAAACCAGATGGCAAAACTTATAAGTTTTTTGATCAATTACAAGCTCTTGAACATAATCCTCCACCGCTATTAGCTCCTCCACCTCAGGTGGCGGCAGTGCCACCGCCACTTGGTACTGCAAATCCACCAATTGCAGCCAATGTTAGCCCTATAAGCACTGTCCCACAAGGTACCAATACCCCAACAAATTTTTCATTTCCACCTTTGCAGCCACCAGCAATGAACACCACAAATCCTCCTCAAACTCAAACTTTTCCGCCTTCTCGTCCGAATATATCAGCTAGCCATCTATCGATTTCAACCTCTTCTTCGACTTCGTCTGACGAGGATATTCAGAGGCGGCACAAGAGGAAGCGGAAATGGATGGACTATTTCGAGAGACTAATGAAGGATGTAATTGGGAAGCAAGAAGAATTGCAGAAGAAATTCTTAGAAACGCTCGAAAAACGCGAAAGAGATCGAATCTCTAGAGAGGAAGCTTGGAGAGTAGAAGAAATGGCGAAAATGAACAAGGAGCATGAACTTTTAGTCCAAGAAAGATCAATTGCTGCAGCCAAAGATTCAGCAGTTATTGCATTCTTGCAGAAAATATCTGGACAACAAAACTTGCAAATTCCAACAGTACAAGTACCCCACAATCCATCTCCACCAGTGGCGCCACCACAACAACCACCAGCACCGCCACCAGTTCCAGTAACGACAGAAGCAACACCAGTAAGAATCGACACTCCCAAAACCGATTACGGTGGTGAAAACTTACCTCTTGCGAGCTCTTCCCGGTGGCCTAAAGCTGAAGTTCAAGCTCTGATCAAGCTCCGAACTGATCTTGATCTTAAGTACCAAGATAACGGGCCGAAGGGGCCACTATGGGAGGAGATATCGGCAGCCATGGCAAAACTTGGCTACAACCGGAACGCGAAGAGGTGCAAAGAGAAATGGGAGAACATCAACAAGTACTTCAAAAAAGTGAAAGAGAGCAACAAAAAAAGACCTGAAGATTCAAAGACATGCCCATATTTCGAGCAACTCGATGCAATATACAAAGAGAAAGCCAAGAATGAATCTTCATTGATCAATTCTGGGTTCACATTACCAAAGCCTGATAATCCAATGGTGCCATTGATGGCAGTTCCCGAGCAGCAATGGCCACAACCACTGCGTGCGGAGCACCAGCAAGAATCGGCATTAAATGATGAACACGAAACCATTGATCAAAATGATCATGATAACGATGATGATGATGATAATGATGGAGATGGAGATGATAGGGATGATGATGATGATGATGAAGATGATGAAGGAGGTGGGTATGAAATTGTTACAAACAAGCAGCAATCTTCAGTTACCAGCCCGGCATTTGAGTGAGCTGTTTAGAGAGAGAAAAGGAGAAGATAAAGTTGTTAAAAATCGGGCAAGTAGACTGTACTTCTGTGAGTGGGACAGAACTGCAGAAGTTGTCTGAAGGGTGAGATGCAAGATAAGTGGTGGCGGTGAAATTTCCAAATACATATTTCTTGATGGAAGGGGAAATGGGGGGTGACAGAGTTTATTAGTTTGATATAAGTTTAATTTCACAATTTATTTATTATTTTAAAAATAAATAAATTAAAGGAGTGGGCTTAAAAAAAATAGAGGGTTTTCAGACAAACAAATAAGGTAATAGCATTTGTACTATTTGTTTTGTTTACTTGGTGAAGGTGTAACTGTCCAAACTTATGAATTTATATCAATTTCTTAATGTGTTTTACTCGATTTGTAATATTTGTAGTAGTTTGTGTGCATGTTTAATAGTTAGTAACGATCATACAGATGATAAGAAAGATTTTAATTTCATCTTTTATAATTTTATAACATTAAATTTTTCATAGTAAACATGGCATCGCCTCATGATAGGAGCATTACGTAATTGAATTTCACTTCATGAGAGACTTCTCTTAAATTTTATTAAGAATTTTTTTTACAAGGAGATGCAGATTATATTTCAATCAAAGGAATATATAACAATTCAAAAGATAAATTTTTTTATTTTCTTTAATTTTCATGAGAAAATGACAAAAAATTAAAAAACTTGCTTTTCTTATTATACAGAAAATTATATATAAGTAGAAACACATTAAACTTAAATAAATAATATGGTCTTTTCTAATAGTTTAAATTGTTAAATGACTTTATTTAACCTGTATAAGACAATACACGAATCATTAATTCTAGTTTCATATGTGTGTATTAAGTTTTATTAAAGAAAAAGAATTCAAGCTGGGACATGACATTTTGAAAACTTTCATTTCCCATTTTATCGTAAGATTGCATCTTAGAGTAGTGGATTGATGAAGAATGCGTGGTTAAAAAATAAAGAAAAAATTTGAATTTGCGTGTAATATTATTTTATTTAAAAATGCATGGTTGAAAAAACGACAGAAAAATGCATTTTGAAAATAATGGAGATAAAAAAGGGCTTAATTTGAAAAGGTGAAAATGTCTTCTCTCTAACATTTTAGACTTTTTGATGGAATAATTTAAACCTAATTTTTTCCTTATTCTTTAAGTTTTTTTTTTCCTATTTTTAGTTTGATGGAAGTACTTGTAATTAAAATATTGTCTTCATAAATATTTTTAACAATATTTCATACAATTAAATTATTTAATTTAAAAATCTATACATTTTTTTCTGATTGACAATAACTTTTTACTTTATAAATAATCAAATGAATTTTTAATTAATAATTAAATAAACTGGTAAAACAAATTACTTACAAGTTTTAAAAAATGACTCAATAAATTTCCTATTTTCTAGTAAAAAAATTTGGGTTTCAGTTAAACTTATCTCAATTATCATTACTTCTCGACCTACAAAACACGTAACGTGACAATCGGTTAAACAATAAATTAAACAATGTTAGCTTTGCTTCGACATCATCTCTTCCACTTGCCGAACAAAAGGCCGTTGGACCATCCTCTCATACGCGTAGTCCTAAGTGTTATTATTCAAGGCTAGATGTCACCTTTCTGCTGCAATATAATTCTAGGCGAATGGCATTTTCTACGAAGGGTCTTGGCCACATGCCTCGCCTCGGCCAAGTCACAATATATTTGATTAACTGATTGATAAGATAGGTAGCAACCTTCAACGTTCATTAGATAACTTTTTAGTTTATGTTCGTTTAGGATGGTTATAAACCTGTGAGGGCTATGGATTAACACAATTTACATGATTGAGCTCTTGTTTGAGTCACATTCTTCAATAAAATAATATTTTTCACCAGATCAATAAATTTTCCTTCTTTTTCAACCACGTATTCACCATCACATCACAAAAAAAAAAATGCATTCTTCCTAAAAATGTGCATCAAATAGACTCTGAATTTGACATGCGGTAATATGAAATCACATGTCAAAAATCCAAGGAACCTCTCCTATCTATACATACTCACTTAATATTATTCAAGGTTATGTGAAATCTAATTCTTGAATTGCTGTCCCGATAATTCTCTCAAAATCAGCACTACATGGAACGTTCAGTATCTCTCCCACACCTATATATCTTCATCACTATATCACCGTCTGATTTGAGCCTCAGAATGTCCACAACCTTTGCATCACGTTTGAGCTATAATCACCTGTTGTCTAACGTCGGTGTCCAAGTGTACAGATAATATACATACAAGTGAATGTGAAAGAAGTTAGGATATATTGAGTGGGGGATAGGATAGATTTGGAAGTAAACCATCAGTGAAAAATAACTTTTAATTTTTAAAGAATTAAATTTGAATAGGACAAAGATCGAAGTTGACAGTCCAATTGACATTGGGACCTACAATACTCTCGTGGGCCTTACATCATTTATTGTTTATTGAAATCAATATAAGAAAGCAATTTAGAAGATTCTCTTTTCGGGCTAATTAAGGTAAATATATTGGGAAAATTAGTCCCTGAATAATAGTTATCCATTTTAACAAAAAAATTAATAATGCTTATCCTGGATTAATTGAGAGAAATGATATTTGTACCGAGGGGGACTACCGAATTGTATTTCCCCCCCCCCCCCTCCCTCTCCTCTTACATGATTTGCAGGTCCCGCGCGCATTAAAAAATGCCGAGCTGAGGCCCCACCCTTCGATGTGAAAAGGGGGACACCGTTCGATAATCCCCTCCTCGATACATGTAGTACGGCCATTTTAATTAAACACATCGTTAATGTCCCATCCTAATTCTTGATTTTTATCATTAGCTGTAAAATACCAGTGAACCAATCTTCATCAGATTTTTGTAATAGGATCCAGTTTTAATACAATTTGTTACACTTGTGCAGTTGTGCTTATTGTATTATGAACCTGTTTGGCATGTTTTTAAAGGGTAGTAACATTTTGTTACTTTTGTATTTAAAATGAATCATGGTATTGTATTATGAATCTGCTTTGCTTGTTCATGTTCTTAAAGAGAGATAGATGTGTTACTTGTGTGTAATCATCCTTGAGTAAATCAAACAAGATCTGGAATTTGGTTTTCATTTTTAAATTCTATCTTTCGATAAGGTGATTATTGATGTAATTATTGACTTAGATATCCTAAGGGAAAAAGCCTCAAGTACGTGGAGTTCTTTACCGAATTCATACAGGCGTTTATGTGGTGGAATCTGATTCGTCTGTTTTTTTCCATCTTCCAATGATTTTACATCATGTGTTGTCTATCAAAATTTTCTACTAAAATTTTCTGTACTTTGCAACATGATTGTATTACAAGCTCCAAATAAATAGGTTTATTGGTAAATGCTAAGTTATTAGTACATAAGAGTAATAATGTTGTTTGTAAACCATACTTACAAACACTAGTCCATGTGGTATTAGGGTTACTACCTAATTTTTCAAAAAAATTGTGATAAATTTTAATTCATTGAAAGATGTGACGTATCGTCACTGCCACATAAACTGTTATTTATAAGTACTGCTTAAAAATAACATTATTTAAATATTTAAGTTAGATAATAAAGTAGTCAGATAGAATCTAATATTTAAGTATGAATATTTTTCACTTCTGTTCATTTACTTGGTTTTGTCCATGTTTGGAAAGAATTAAAATCAAGATTTTAATTTAAGTCAAAGTAAAAAAAATAAATTTCAACAACATATTTTAAGGGTCCCACAACTTTTTAACCACAATTTTTATCAAAATCTACTAAAAATTCAATTTTAATTCCCGTCAAACAGTGGTTGTATGAATAAAGATTTGTCGAGCAAGAATATATGGACCACTTACACTTCACATGCTAATTTGACTGTGGAATTCATAAATATCACTGAAATAGGGACCTGAGTGTTGTATTTTTTGAAAGATCGGAGGCTGTATCTACAAATTTTTCAAAATTCAATTCCAGATGCGGAAATAGGAAATAGACCGTGACTCAAATGTCGACCGTGCAACACAATTTGTGGGTGAAAAGGCATAGAGCAACTTCTCAAACTTCAAATCATTGAACAGTAAATTGTGCGATTAATTTATTAGTTGACTTTTTATAGGAGCACTGATGTTGAACAAAAGATTATCGACTATGGTGCTTGTGTATGTATGTGCACTGTGACCAAAGATTTTATTGATTTATCGTGTCATTGTTGGAGGTCTTTCACTTTCGAAACATTTATGCATCTTCAGAACTTGATATTTAAAGAAATAAAATTTAGTAATTTACTTGTACTAGAAAGGTCACCCAAAGTTGCATTAGTCTATTTCTTTTGTTGGAAGACAAAGATGATGTAGATCCATATACAAGTGGGCCGCAGAAATGTGTGGTCAAGATTGATTTGAAAAGAATACAATGAATGATATGTCGCCAGTCTCTTGTTGTCATCTTGATCGTTATCAATTCTGATCAATCATTGAAGGCTTTTTTTATTAACACCAGCAGCAGTCTGCTGTGTTTGGAGTTTGAAACTTCTACAAACAGTACTCTTTGTTACGATTTAAATTATTTTTAGAACAATAAATTGTGAAAGAACTTGAAGAAACTAGTGTTCTTTTTCTCACCATTCCATTTTCACCCCTACACAACGCCTCTCAACCCAATTTTATAAGAGAATAAGATGGACGGGCTGATTTGATTGAGAAAATTGAAAACTACATTAATATAAAACATTAGATATTTAGCATCCCGTCGAAACTTAGTCATGTCTACAGTGGTTGGGTGCAATGGGTATGGTGTTGTGCGTGCGGTGGTGGTGGGTGCTGTGGTTGGGTGTTGAGGCGTGCGGTGGTGGTGGGTGCTGTGGTTGGGTGCTGAGGCGTGCGGTGGTTGCAGTGAGTGGGGATGTTTGAGTGGTTTTAGTGGCGGTGGCGGATCGAGCTGCTTGATGGTGGATCGAGATTTGGTGGCTGTGCTGTGGGGGGGAAGTGGTGGTGGTGGTGGATCGGCTGCTGATGGTGGATCCTTATTTGGTGGTTGTGCTGTGAAGGTGAGTTGGTGGTAGATTTGGCATGACGTAGTGGTGGTGGTGTTTTTCTGCCATGTGTGATTTGTTTGCAATGGTNAAATAGAGCTGTGACCCGTAAAATTTTTGAATTTTTTTAATCGACCTATGAAAAATTACCTGTGACCTTAAAATTCTTGATTTGTGACCGACGAAATTAACTGTGACCTATAAATTTTTTCATTTGTGACCTCGAAATAATCTGAAACCAATTAATTTGATAAGCTGTGACATGAAATTAATTTTTAACTAATTAATAAGATATACGCTATCAAATTACACCATTAAATATTTAATTAATTAATAAAAAGTAGAAACTTGATTTTTACAATTTTAAAGTTTAGCACCTGATTTTTTAAAATGGCAAACTAAACACCTGAGTCATAAACTTTCTCTTTTCCTAATTGGGCCTTTAAGTCATGCAAGCCCATGGACCTGCCCTGTAGATGAATTGATTCTCGATAAGTGGAATTTTCACCTAAACTCTTTTTTTATTCAAAAAGAGTAATACTAAGTGTATATTGTGCGGTTGACATCATTGTGTACATCTCAATGGAGTTCAAAAAATTGTAGGCGGGAAAGTATTTTTTTTAAAACTATCCAATTATGTATCGATACGTGGTACATTGTCGAAAATGATGTACATATAGCACGATTGATTCAAAAATACACAAAATACTGTACATTTTTTTAAAAAATTTGAAAATACCATGTTAATAGGACCAATACTGTACATTTGGGAGTCTAGTTGATGGCAGTTCGGCGGGTGGTTGTGGTAAGAGTTGGTGGAGGCGACGATAATTGTATTTGGACGGGGTCAGGTCGTTGGGCTTGTGCTTGGTTTCAACGGTGGAATGGGTAATTTTTATTTTTTTGTGGTGATAGTGTTGTGGTGATTTGCTATTTTGATAATTTTTGGCATCGATGAATTCTCAATTCCGATAACTTTCAAATTGTTTTATTCATTTTGATTGACTTGTATCTTGTGGTGATCGATTGTGTAGTGGATTGTAGCAAGCGTCGATGGTGGTGGCAACAATGTAACGATGAATTACAATTTTAACATAATTTTGTTATACTTGTGATACGGTGTGTTATAATTAGAGGTGGTGACGACAATGACATGGCATATTATGTAACCTATGGTGATGTTGATAGTGGCATCGACGGCAACGACGTCGAAGGTGGTGGCAATGCGGTAGAATCTGCATAACAAAGCTTGTTACGTGTGGTGATGGTGGATTGTAGGTTGGGGAAGTGATGGCGACTGATTCGTGATGGTTAAGGTGGGGATGGTTGGAAAAAGAGTTTTCTTTTATAGTTGTTCTATATATGTCGATTTTAGCTCGACTTAACATTTTACAAAACTTCTGTTATGTATTGAAAAGAAAAAAAGAGGATTATTACATTTTTCCCTCCTCCAAAGTAGGCATTCATTCTTCAACCCATATTTACATTTCTCAAAAGAGGACATTTTTTCATTCTTCTTCAATTTTTTCATCTTTTTTTTTTCCAAATCTATTTGTGGTGGAACCCTAACTACTTGCTGGTAGGGAGCTATATGAACGAATTTTGATTAATTTATAATTTTTGAAAAGATTTAGGACTCTAGCTGCAACTTTTCCTTCATTTTTTTTATTAGGTTGCTTTTCCTTTTTTTCGTGTATATTTAAATAGGGATAAATTTGTCATTTTATGTGGTTTTAATGGTCAAAATGGAAGGAGGGATGAGTTTTGCTACATTTTCGAACTGTTGAGGACAGGGTTAAAAAAGGTTAAGAATAAATCAATAACGTTTGCAAAGATTAAAAACGAAACGTGCATTTTTTTTTAAACAAGATGATGAGACAACGTATTGGATTGTTAGAATCTTTTAGTACGTTATCCTATGTCGTTATTATTAAATAAAATAATTGAAAATTTTTATCATGTCCCCGTTTGGCAAAACTTATATTTACAGATGATCAAACTTCATTTGACAACAATTCCAATGGATCTATACGTATTATCTACTTATTCACGATCCATTTTAAGTATTTATAAATTATTCCTGAGTGAAAGGCTTAAAGTACTCGGATTGCACAATTAACAAATTTTATCATATTACAACTTGTCGTAAAAAAATTGATTGAGATAAGATTGTACACAGTGTTTTAGAGCTAGTTTGGGAGAGATTTTTCCAAGTGAAAATTGATTTTTTTTTTTAAGAAAATGTGCGATTAAATAAGTATGATTAAATTGCAGATCTCATAGAATATATGGTTGAAAACAATTTTTTGAAAAATATCTCCCGAACAAGCTTCTAGTACTCTATCGTAGTTATTATTCTATGAAACAAATCAACAACTAGAAAATTTTACCTGCCTGCCATCAGTGGAATAAATAAGTCAAGTGGCCGATTAAGCTTAAAAGTTAAATTATAAAGAAATTTACTTATAAGTATTTTCTTCGCTTCTTCTGGACAATGGGTTATTTTTAATTAATACCGACTTTCGACTTTTCGTATTGTGAAAGGCCTATAAGGGCCATTTGCATATGGGCAGTAGAATTTCTATTTCATAAAGTCATACGATTGACCTCATCAAATTATCCAATGGCCCATAGCACATTAAATATAATTATTTAGGTTATTAAATATTAATTATGTCTTCTACATATAAATCCATTTATAAACAACATAATTCATATATAATAATAATGGAACATTTTGAATTTGTTCAAATTGAATACCTCGTTACATACATGCATGATCAACTTAGTGAAGAATGAAGGAAATTCGCAAAATTCCATTTTAATCGAGAATGGAGTTTTCCAACGTTTAACCGAAAAAATTAACATGCATTGTATAAAATAAGTGTTTATATAGTTTGAACTTTCAACAACAAAAAATTAAGAAACATCCATACAGCAGCCAGTAAAAAAAAGGAAAAGAAAGAACTGTTTATCCACCTTTCGAGTCCAATTCGATCATTAGATCTTTCATTTCCTTATTATTATTATTATTTTATTTTTTTGGAGTCTGTGTTCGAATGCAAATGCGCTTTGTTAATGCTAGAAAATAATTAACGGTTTAATACGACAATTTAAACTTTGAGTCCAATTCGACCATTCAATCTTTGATCTCCTTGTCAGAGTCGACGTTTAGACTCAGTTTGCTACTTAATCGGGAGAAAAATGAATGCTTCCACTTGCATCAATTTGTGAGAAAAAGAAAACAATGTGAATCCATTATTCAGATCAAGTATTATGAAACCATTTCAAGTATTATTATAATTAAAGATGTGACGAAAATAAATAAAATGCTAATTATTTAAGTTTAATAATCACATAATAGCCCGACATTAATTAAAAATAATACTATTAACACACCACAAAAAAAAGTGACTTAAAGAGCGAATTTCTTATTGCTAAAACCACGATATCCGTTGCTACATGTCTTCACCAACGAAAAATGATTGATTGCAAATATGTTGATGTTTTGAGGATTGGTGATAGTTACTAACAGATTGTCAGTATTTTAAACGTAAACTCTTAACAACGAATTGTTCATAGGTTAAAGGTAAACTTTTATCGATCGACAATTTTATCTTCGTTGATAAATTCCTCATATTATAATGAGATTCTCGTTTGGTCAATTTCGACAATTTAACCGTTCATCTAATCATTTTTATAGTCAACGTTGGAATAAATTTGCAATGCTAAACAGTAGTAACGTTAAAAAAAAAAACAAAAACAAAAGAAAAGAAAACAGAGAGGTAAACAGTAAAAACGCGTCCCGTGACGCGGATTTGTTTTCGGACGCAGGGTCAGCGAGACGAGTAGAGAGGTGAAGGATAGACTTCGAAGCTCTAGAGATAGAGGTCAGGTCATACGCAAAGAAAACTATGCAGAAACCGTGCCGTAAAGCCGGAGGATCCGCTGATTGACAGAGGCATACAAAACGTTCATGATCATCATCATTATATGTAGAATAAACCATAATTTCAGCGCCCAAATTCTCTTTTTCCCCCTCTTTTGTAACCTCATTTTGTAATATGATTCCCTTTATGTGAATGCAAATTGAAGTTGTTTCTGTACGCGTATCCACATTTATTCAGGTGGGTCCTCTTCATTCTTACTCACAAGTAAGAAAATTTGTTGTGTTCTTGCGACAGTTTTCTGGTTCTTTTTTAGGATGTGCGTTTATGGGAAGTGTAAATAACAATAGGTCTGTTTCTGTGTTTCATTTGGTAGATTGATGTCTATAGGAAGACTGGAATATCGAAATTTAGTTCGTTTAAGAATTTGTTGTTTTCTATTCTGATAGGGCCCTGAAAAAAGTATTTGATGGTAGCTTAGTAATTTTGAGCTGTTTCACCATTCTTGATCATTTCCAAGTGTGCTAGTGCTTCGATTTGAACTAATTTCGCAACAAGTTAAAGCAGAACATGTGGTTTAAAAGTTACTGAATGAAAATTAAGAAGTGAAAAAGCCCTCTTATTATTATATGCTATTTTGTTCTGCTTTTAAGCGATCCATGTGAGGAGCTTCTTTTATGGGAATCTTCTTTTCTTGGTTTGTGCTTTTCCTATATCTTTTATTTACTTTGTTATTAAGGTATAGAATGACTTTTTCTCAAAATACTCATTCTTCTGCTCTTAATTATGCTCGCAGATGGCGATATCTAAATTCAAGCCAATTTGATCTGATTAAAAATTAGAGAACATAATTTGCGTGCTTGTATTGCATAAAGACTTCAACTTGTGCATAGAAACCAAAAAGAAGAACTGGCAGTATACCTATTTTTAAGACAATGTCATTCCGAAGCATAGCTCGTGATATAAGGGATAGTATTGGGAGTTTATCAAGACGGAGTTTTGACTTTAGGCTGCACAGTCACCACAGGGAGAAGTCTCGTGGTTTTGTACACGAGTTGGATGACCAAACTCTGGTCATCCAGAGTAGTTGTTGGGCTAATCTCCCACCCGAGTTACTTCGTGATGTCATTAAGAGGTTGGAGGAGAACGAGAGTACGTGGCCTGCTCGCAAGCACGTTGTTGCTTGTTCGGCTGTTTGCCGGTCATGGAGGGAGATGTGCAAGGAAACTGTACAAAGGCTAGAGTTCTCTGGAAAGTTGACATTCCCAGTCTCTCTAAAGCAGGTATAGCTTCTTGCCTTTATCTTCTAATTCAAATAATTGGGTAAATTTACTTGATGGTCACTAGTGGGGGTCATTGGACGATAATTTGCTGAGATTATTTGTTTTTGCTTTTATTTGACAGCCAGGGCCACGAGATGGGACCATTCAATGCTTCATTAAGAGAGATAAATCTAAACTGACTTACCATCTTTACCTCAGTCTAAGTCCTGGTAAGATTTGATAATTTAACGTTTACTGGATACTAAGTTGATTTGTCACCTGAATTTTTTGCTATGACTTGCTGTTACATGGTATTCAAAATTTCTTGATGCTAGTTTGGTTTTCTAATAATTGATTATAAATTGATTGGATACTTTATGAAGTTACATCTCTGGTTGCTTTAATTAAATACTGGTAAAAATAAAATTTATCCTCTTTGCTTTAGCCCAGAACTGGAGCTGGTTTCTGAAGTCATATAATGTTATGTTTTGGTTTGGAAATATATAGTTCATGTTCGGAAACAAGATACTGGTCAAGATTGGATTGTTGTAAATAAGCGAAAAAAGATAAAATCTTGTTCACTGTACTATTTAGTTCCATCGAGTACCCGTTACTTAAAGTTACTCTTTTTCTCTTTTACCTATCAAAAAAGTACCCCGTTACCACAAATGCTAATGGTTTCCACATAGCCATATAGGTCACTTTAATGACTTGTTAGAAGAAACTGGTTAATTAGCAAAATAATGATTAATTCTTCTTTATTAATTTATTAATAACCTAATGGGATACACCTTTGCAGCCTCACTTGTAGAAAATGGTAAATTCCTTCTCTCTGCAAAGCGGAATCGGAGAACCACATGTACAGAGTATGTGATTTCAATGGATGCTGATAACATATCAAGGTCAAGTAGCAGTTACCTTGGAAAATTAAGGTAAGGGTATTTCCTACAAACTGACCTCTTGAATTCTGATTATTCATGTTTGGAAGTAAAAATTTTAGGCTGTGCAAATAGAGTTTAATTGGAATCTTAAGTCTTGCATTAAACACTTGACACGTGTAAGTACCAGTGTTGATATTGATCTTCGCATCGAGTTCTGTATATGGTCAACAAATATGGCGTTTTCCAAAATATATAGCTGTTAGTAAGCTATCGATGCATATATTCTTTCCCTTTCCCTTTCAAATGCAGTTACCCACGCCTGTACTAAAGCTCCATGCCCACAGGCAGGAGAACGGACATACGCATAAAAAATAACAGAGTTGAAAATTCCAGACCTGATGTAGAAGAGAAGGTGGATATCAAAGATATTGGACTTACGTGAAATACTGTTCTTTTCTTTTTCTTTAATTAAATATTGTGTGACATAAGTAATAACTCAATATCTATTTATTTTAAGAAGCAATATTCTATCAGTCTGAGAGTACATCCATAGTATGTTAAAGCCCCGTGTTTCCACTGGTTTCTAATTATTTGTAGTTCTTACATGAGTATTTGGTTTTTTTTTTTTAAGCACTAATTATTGTTGGACTGTCATGCACACTAACTTGTCTGCGCTTCTTTGTTGATTCAGGTCAAATTTCCTCGGCACTAAGTTCATAATATTTGACACACGGCCGCCATACAACAATTCTAATATTTCTCCACTGAGTCATAATAGCTGCAGGTTCTACTCAAAAAAAGTGTCTCCAAAAGTCCCGAGTGGAAGCCACAACATTGCTCAGGTCACATACGAGCTCAATGTGCTCGGCTCCAGGGGGCCACGTAGGATGCGTTGCATCATGCATTCCATACCTACCTCGGCCCTCGAGCCTGGCGGTACTGTCCCAGGCCAACCCGAGCTCGCTCCTTGCTCTCTTGAAGATTCATTCCGTAGTATTTCTTTCTCCAAGTCGATTGACACCTCATCCGAGTTTACAAGTGCTCGGTTCTCTGACATTATAGGTACACATGGGGAAGAGGATGATGGGAAGGAGAGACCGTTAGTTCTTAAAAACAAGCAACCTAGGTGGCATGAACAATTGCAGTGCTGGTCTCTTAATTTTCGGGGGAGGGTAACTGTTGCCTCTGTCAAGAATTTTCAGCTTGTAGCTACAACACAGCCTGCTGCTGTTGCGCCAATACCATCCCAACCGGCCCAATCAGATCAAGATAAGATTATCTTGCAGTTTGGTAAAGTTAGCAAAGATATGTTTACCATGGATTACCGATATCCTTTATCTGCTTTTCAGGCATTCGCTATCTGTTTAAGTAGCTTCGACACAAAACTGGCATGTGAATAGAAGAAAGAAGTGAATGAGTTATATATATAACAAAGAATGTAGGTACTACTTGTCCATAGCAACTATGGAGCTCAAAATATGCCGGGACATCTGTGCACAAGTTTTTTCTTTTTATTCCTTGTGTAATTGAATTCCTTTACAGTAGTTTGCTTGAGAATACCGTGTTATGTTCTGTTGTAATATTATCATTGGCTTCTTATATATTGAATGGAACTATTTAAATTTTAGACGGCAATCCTTTTCCCTTCTTGGTTTACGGAACGGACGTACTTCTTTGTATACGTTGGGAATGTTGGAAGCTGTGTGCCTAATCCTGTGTTGGCATCCGAATCCAAAAATTCAAAATTGGGATTATTTTGATTAAAGTTGGAACATTTAACCATATCACCCCAGAAATGATTGACTAAAGGATTCTCAGCTCCGCTCGATGCTAAGTAGGTTGGACCAAACCGTCGTCATCCTACAAACATCATCATTACTCCATGCTACACACGTCATGGATGGCTTCATTGCCTATTCCACGACCATTCCCACGACGACATGTGGTGGTCATGATAATGGTGCCAGATTTTGGACCAATCAAAAGTGTGCAATGATTATCCACCACCCCAGCATCATCATATGATGTGTGGAGGCCGACCTAAATAATCAATCAGAGAGCTTGAATCCAGGACAGTGACACACATTTTAAGGTCAACATTGTAGTTGATTTGATATTGAGCAACCGGCTTACCTGTTTTGAAGTCTATAAATATGATTGTAATGGTCCGTCAGGACTGAACTCAATGTATTCACTTCACATGCTTTGAATTCACTCCAATTAATATAAGAATCCTTTCTTTTTACTATTTCAGCATTTTGCCTCTTACAAATCATCCTTCAAGTTGATCCAAATTGACGTAGTCATTTTTGAACATCAACACTATGTATGTTCTTTCAAAGATCTTTCTGTGTTGCTTATTGATTGCAGTTTTTCATTGCGTGTGCTACTTCAGGTGGAAGCCTGCTTGGTCGAGCAATGATTTGCTGCTGCAATGAATCGAACAATATATATAGAGTGGAAGCCTGTTACAAGTGTTATTAAATTCGGACCAGATTTGTCAGTTCAAAAAAGCACTGGTAAACTGAAACGGGCAAGTAGCAATTGAAAACCAGCGGTGACGGGACAGTTTAATTGAAAACCAGTGACGTAACCCCATTGAATCGGACGGGCCATAAAACTTGATAGAATAGTTTGGGCTTGACCCTTTTATTGAACAGCCCAACTACATGATCATTAAACCCATCAAAAAGTCTATTTTTAGGATAAAGGTAGAGGAGGTGCCGATCCAAAAAAACCCTAGCTCGGTCACACTGCACGCCGTAGCCACTTACCTCTGTGTTTTTGAATTTGTGATTCACTTACCTCTGTGTTTTTGAATTTGTGATTCGCTTTGGATTTAATTGTTTTTCTATTAAATTTGCCCAATGATGGAAAAATTAATACATTGATGCGGCACGGTGGTTGATTCATCGTTGGCCTTTGCGCATCACCGGAACAATCAGCTGCCACCACCACCACCACCACCACCTCCACCTCCTATACTCTTTTCTATTGATAAACGGCACACACGTGCACGTGGTTGCTTGGTTGTGATGGTGGTGCGTTAAAGGCCTCGGATGGATCTTCATCGGATTATCCGTTTGTGATTCTAGAAGCTATGAGATCTGAGGGCTCTTCTTTTTTTTCACATTCTTTTTGAACTTATAATTTTTATCTGCACATTTCATGGGCTTTATGATATCAAAAAGTTATTTCAATGTTGTAGTTGAATTCACTTGTGACGAGCTAGAACATTGGGACTTCGGGAGATTGAAAATAAAATTTTAGCTCTTTTCAGTAATTCCTAGCAGTAACGAACTTGAAATAGCGACGGTTGGATGGCTCTGTGACAAAATTCTCATTCCCCGAATCTTTTCAATAATTGTGCGTTAATCAATTTGGAATGACAGTGAAACGGGTTCAAACCAAAGGACCTTAATCTTCATCCTATCTGGAAAAAAATTTGAAACAGACTAATACGCAAAGAAAATTAAAATTAAATGATACACAAAAAATTGTTTTTACTTAAATTTTTTTTAAAAAAAGGTGAATTGGGCTGGGAGACGGGCTGTAGCACAGCCCAATCCCCCTAGATCTGCCAATGCATCCTGTGGAGGATTTCAACATTTTTCAAATATATTTTGTCTTGAATATTAAGTTAATTTTGAAAAAGATGTGAGACAAAATAAAATCCCTATTAAAACTCCAAGCATTATTTCAAAACTTTTTATTCTATATACTCATTTTCAATTATATATTCACATAATAAAATATTCTATGCGTAAATTCAAAATTTTTTCTTACTTTTTAACCATACATTCTCCAAAAAATCACCATTCAAAACTTAATTTTATCCAAGTAATTGGTTATCTAAGGGGGGCTTAAACTTTAAAAGTGTATTAAAAAGATCCTACATCAATTTCTTTGTGTAAATATGTTGCAAGACGGGACGTTAACTAAATAATGGGACATGAATTGGACTTGTGATTTTTTAATTTTTTAATTTCTGTATTTATGTTCTGTTCTAAGTATTAAAATATATTTACTATCGGGATGGGGAATTAGGTAGGGATTATGTTCGCATCGAGTAAGGACTTTGGCGATTACTACAAGGATTGGAAATTCCCCATCCCGTCGATGAACATTTCAACGATAGGGTAGGAAACCATGGTTACGATAGCAGAATTACTTTTAATGATTTAGAAAAATGTAAGTACTTATTTATGAGGTTTTGTGATAATATTTTTATTGCTTCCAATATGAGCTAGAAAAAAGTCGAGGCTCATTGAACTAGTTGAAGATTTTTTCGAGATGTTCCTTGATAAATTAAGCTCATGTTTAGCCCCCATTAAATTTTAATTCATTTTTTTTCTCTTATCTTATAAATTATATGTTTTTCCTATAAAATAATATCACGCATAAATCCAAAAAAAAATTCCTTACTTTTTAATCATACATTCTTAAAAAAAAAAAAAATTATTTCAAAATTAATTTTCTCAATCAAGGGCTCATATTTGACACGAGAGAATACGAATCATATTATAGCAAGTAGGTCAACGGCTATGATTATAATAATATTTAAGGACCATAATTTTAGGTTTCTGATGATGAACTCTTTCATACGTCATGTCGCATTCTACCTTCTAATTGGTTATTTCATTGCTACGACTAATATTTTATTTTTTTCCTTTCCTATTATTTCTATCTTTTATTTGGTGATATTGATAATCTTTTTAATTGGTATATTTTGTTAGCTTTAGATGACATTAATCTTTGTCTAGTTCAATTCAAGCTTTAAACAAGTTGTATTGGTCAATTGACACATTTAAAGAATTATATCATTTCGAGCTTGTCTCTCCCCATATAAATATTTATTTTATTTTTCGAAAGCAAGCCAAAAATCTGAAAAAATAAAATAAGATTGTTGAGTTTGTAAATCAATCTATTCTTACCGTCTCATGTTTACAATCTTGTTATTTAAGGTTGACATGGTTATAGTACTCGCGACAACAGGGCAGATGGGTATTCTTCCTGGACGCATGGCATCAATCTCAGAGCTAAAACTCGGTGTCCCCGTATTAGTGGTGTTTAGATGATATAAAATTATGTTATTCGATCAGTAATGTTTAAATACTTTTTGAGAGAAGAGGTTTCAATCCATAAAATGAACTCGGCAAAATAAACTTAGGGAGATGAGAGTGCTACCTTTTCACTAAAAGAGTGCTAAATGACATATGTCATTCCAAAAGATTTTATCTCCACTTATGATAGAAAGTGGACAACTAAAAAATAATTCAATCCTTGACCACTATATCTAATTCCAGATTAAACAAACCCATACTCAATCGAAGAACAAGATCATGTTATTTCGATTCGTCTCCATTTTTGTGAAACTATTCCTCAAGTAAGGCTGCCGATTGTGCAAGTCACAAAATGATAGACATTACTCATTTTAAAATATCCTAATCGGAGGGTATGTTTTGTGATGTTCCCAAAATTCCAGGCACCAGTTGGCAATTAATACCTTTGTGCAGTATCTCACTCATTCGGTAATAAATACCCGTGTCCATTGCGCGGGTGAGGCGTGTCCCAAAAGCCCCCTATCACAGTTCACCTTTGGCCTTTTGCCTTTCGCTATCTCACTGCCAAGATTACTCCCGTCAAATTATAGTACTAAATTTTCGAATCTCTGCACCAAAAAGTTGTTAACCTGTGATCGATTTATATGAATATTCTCTCCTTTTCCATGTAGCACGCGGTACAAATACATATAAAACCCCCCTTTCCAATAGGGTTTAATCTCATTGTCCTTTCCTTCTCAATCTATCAACCCCTTAGGCGTATGTAGCTTCTTGAATATTTTGAATCTGGGTTTTTGTGGGTTCGGTTTATAATTTTAATTTTTCTTGGCATAACTAGCGGAAGTAAAAAGATTCTTGAAATATCAATATTTTCTGTTCCGGCAATCTCGAGTCTGGTTGAAATTTTTTGTATTATGGGTCTTTAAGAGTTTGATATTTCGTAGTTTGTTATCAATTGGAATCCCAAGGGTCTGTTTGATTTTTATCACATTTTCTTGTGCCTAGGGTTGTTGGCTTGACAAGAAAAAAATCTGAGTTTTTGCCCTATTCAACTGTAATCGCGCTTTTCAGTATCTGGGTGTGCATTGAGATTGAATTTTGGTTCTCACTTTTGAAGAATTTCTTGGAAAATGTATTTTTTACATGTAAACTAGGAAATGCCAGCTACAGATTATCAACAGACATCATCACCAACATCATCTTTTCCAAGCTTAGGATTTTTCATTTTGAGCAGACGCCGTGATCGGGTCCATTCTATGGACTCTACTCATGAGGCCACTGGCCATGAAAATGAATTGGAATCCTTCCAAAAACTTGTGGCTGAAAGGTTTCATGATTTGGCAGCGGCAGACTCCAATGAGTTGCTCTCAATTCCGTGGATTCACAAGCTTTTAGATGCATTCCTCTGTTGCCAAGAGGAATTTGGTGTTATTGTTTACAAGAATCGAGTTTTCTTCAATCGAGCCCCCATGGATCGATACATTTCCGAGTTCTTTGAGAGAAATGTCAAGGCTTTAGATGTTTGCAATGCGATTCGTGATGGCATTGAGCAGATCAGGCAATGGAAGAAGCAGTTAGAGATTGTTTTATGCGCATTGGACAATCAACAGAGCATTGGGGAAGGCCAATTTCGTCGTGCTAAAAAGGCCTTAATTGATTTGGATATTGCAATGGTGGACGAAAAAGAGTCGACTTCGATCCTTGCACATAGAAATCGGTCCTTTGGACGAAACAATGTGCAGAGGGAGGGCAAGTCTTTTGGCCATTTCCGATCCCTGTCATGGAGCGTTTCCCGATCTTGGTCTGCTGCTAGGCAGTTGCAAGCAATTGGCAACAACTTGGCTGTGCCACGAACAAATGAGATTTCGGCCACTCATGGACTAAATGTGGCTGTTTTCACCATGAATCACGTGCTTCTATTTGTAATGTGGGCACTTGTGGCTGCAATCCCCTGTCAAGACCGTGGCCTTCAGACACATTTTTCTGTGACTAGGCAGTTTGTTTGGGCCATTCCGATTCTCTCACTCCACGATAAGATTCTGGATGAGTCGAAGAAACGGGACAGGAGAAATGCTAGGGGATTGTTGAAGGAGATTCATGAGATTGAAAAATGCGCGAGACGAATGAATGAATTGGCTGATTCTGTTCAATTCCCCTTGACTGAGGAAAAGGAATGGGAAGTGAGGCAGAGAGTTCAGGAGTTTGGACTAGTGTTTAAAGCAGTAAAAGATGGTTTGGATCCATTAGAACGTGAGGTTAGAGAAGTGTTTCATAGGATTGTGCGCAGCAGAACTGAGTGTCTTGCTTCTATTGGACGAGCATATAGTAATGATTGATACAATTTGGGCTACTCAAGAAAAGGGTTGAAGAAGTAAAGTCTTGTCTTTATCACAATGTATTGTTTAAAGAAATCAGGAAAAGAATCCAACTCTGTCCTTGTTATTATATCTTTTGCTGTGATATATAAGTCAATATCTCAAGTGAATTTTCCTTTGAAGATGTAGCCACTTCAATTCATGTTTATATATGATTATGCTGCTAGATGGTGAGCAGTACTAGGAGAAACTGAAGAACGCTCAATTTGTGGCCTATTTGCTCATCTAAACTAGTAAACGAATTGAGACAGAGGTTATGCTGCTACTGTATTATGTATGCTCTTCAACTGTTCGAATATTCATCAGCAATGGCTTCGTTTTCTGTAGTTTAGACAAGACACAGAAGTTGAGGCTTGCATTTTTATGTGGATGGATTGTTATTGAGGCATAACCGAGTAGCAATGCCTTGCATCAGATTCAGCGTATGATCAGTAGGAAATTTTAAAAAATGTTTCAAGGTGCGATCTGCACTGAAGAGGATTGAATTTTTATTTTATTTTATTTTATTTTATTGTTGGGTTGACTTTCAGCATTCGTGTTGACTGGTTCAATGTTTTGTGGTACCCATGTTCAATTGAAATTAAGGGTAAGATAAGCTCTCTCTAACAAGAATCCTTCGTACTCTGGTCAAATTCTACGAATATTTCTCTGAATAACAAAATTTTTCTACGTTTTCTTTAGAAACATTGAACACGTTTTGTTCATGTAAACCTTGTAATTAGAACAATTTTATAAAATCAGCAAATTTATTTTGACAGTTCTAGATGATCCTTCGGGTGCACGGAATCATGGTCAAGTAATATAACAATGAATAGAGTGTCGAATCCATGAGGGCTATGTGCTTTACCAAGTTAAAATTAATTGCAACATTAATCGAATGACAAACAAATTTTGTGATTTTTTTTTATACTAATACCTAAATTATCAATTAAACTAATGAAAGTAAGTAATGTGTTTTTTAAATATGTGAGATGTATTGCTAAGATATCGAATCCTCCTTATTATTCAATTGGTGTAATAATTAAAATGACGATTTGAAATCATTCATGTCGGTCAATGTTCAATAATTTAATTGAAAGCCTCTCTCGATAACTATCAAATTTATTCCACTCATGCGACATTTCTATCTCTCGATGAAAGATACAAATATGATAAATGTGTTAACAAGTGTTAGAACACCTATTGAAGTATATATCTATCATCTATCGAACCTTACAATATTTATTATATTGTGTTTAAATCATATTATCTTTCTCGATGATAATAAAATTCACTAAAAATTCAATTGGTGATCAAGCAATTGAAAATAACGATAAAAATGGTAATAAATATCCACAAATCAAATCAAATTAAAGTCAAAGTAATTAATTAAAGACTAAAAATATCATAATAAGAGTTCATTTCATCCTAACAATGTATAAAACTAGCCTAAGATATCGAAATTACAAGAAATCATATTTAAGTGAAAAGACATAACTCGAATTTTTGATAAATTAAGAAGATGAAGATAAGGCACCGTTTGGTAACCCTTCTTTTTTTCATTATCATTCTTCTACTAATTTTCAACCACACATTCATCAATAAAATAATATTTTCCATCACATCAATACCTTTTCCTTCATTTTCAACCACAAAAAAGGTGTGATTTGACACAAAGAATGCATTTTTTTCTTGAATAATGGTTACCAAACGGTGCCTAAATTTATACTATATCAATGAAGAATGTTAAAGAATTTAATCAATGTATCAGTGACATGTCGTGTAGTGTCACTATTTTTTTTAAAAAATCACGTTTTGACGTATTTGTGTCGGTGTAGAGGTGTAAAAACGGGCGGTCCGGACCTGTCCGGACCACCAGGAAAGAAGCTTGGTTCGAGGCCGGGCTGAAAATGGACTGGCCCGTGCTGGCTTCCGGGGCCGTTCCGGCCCGGACCGGGTTAGGAGAGGCCTAACCCGGCCCGGACCGCTCACGGCCCACACGTCGTTTTTTTTCCCCAAAAAATAACGGTAAAAAGAATTATAGTGAAAATCGATAAAAGTTACGTAAAAATAAATTTTACATTGATTTATTTTTCGATAAATTACATCAATAAATAAATAACATAAAAACTTACAATATTTTACCTAACTTGACAAATTACACAGTTTTGAACTAGTTATGAACTTATAGTTAAAGTACATCCTAACTAGGTTGGCACCTACTTAACAATAATTTCGTCATTACAAATCAGATTTTATTCATCTACGGTAAGATTTTTAAAGTTTTGAGTAATATCGTCAGCAACTTTATCTTGCATTCTTCTATCAGCAAATAACCAGNTCCTCAAACTTTGGACTTTGCCATTTTTCCTTGATTTTCTTTTGTTTCTTCCAATTTCTCGTTCAACCATTGAGTTTTACCTAGATAACATAAAATACAACAATTTAAGATATATTTTGTCAAAAAAATTACTAAATATCGATATTTTAGTCCCCGAATAAGTGTATAAAATACACATATCACTAGGCCTTTGGAAATGGCATTGTTTTCTTCAACGATTATGTCGACCTCAATTTCCATAAGGGTAACGTGGCAAACAGGTAAGTGCTCCACGTAGATATCTTCCTACGCACGGTAACAAACCGCTAGTTATTTGTGGCCTTTTTTTATGGTGGTATATGCGACTGCGGAAACTTCAACAATTAAGTCACTGAATGATGAAGAAGAAATAAATAACACGCTCGAATTGCAAGGTTCAAGATAATAGAGCAAAGTGTATAGAATTGCATTATCATTGAAATGGCACTAAGTGTGCATATTTATAGAGAAATAGGTGATTTGAGATTGTTGCATGGAGGGACACGTGGCGTATTTGCTGGTCGAAGCATCCTCTCCTAGATATCAATTAATAAATCCCTAGGTTGGCGGGCATTTAATTGCTCCCAATGAGTGAATTTTGTGACTTGACCTTTTAACGTTTGCTGCACAAACATCACATCAATCAATCGTGTAAATCTTATTTTGACTGAATATTTGTACAAAAGATTACCTAGTTAATAGAGACAAGGCGACGTGATAGTATTCCAACAGCGTCGTTCCACATCTTACCACTTCGGCGTATATCCCTTCGAGGCACATCACTTCAGTGCCGCGGTTTAAACCGCGAATATACATGTGGACCACTTCACCTCAGCACTTCAATGGTGCGAGGTGATGTGAAGTGCAGGTCTTGTTGATTTACTTAGCTAACTGTCACGTTGGTGACGATTTGAAGCCTCTTCATAAGAGGTGTAATAGATTATATTATGTTTTGTTTATATTCATAAAGCATTGGAAATTGAGATTTTGGCACTTATAATCTGTGTACGATATAGTGTCGCTTAGAAAGTAAATACAATTATTTTCCTATCAAAAAAAAAAAAAAATCTCTAACATTCACGGAGTTGCTAAGTAATTTGAGGTACGATACTAGAAGAATATAAAAGAAGAAAAAAGATTTGAGATTTTGTCACGTACTGTCTCCTAATTGCTATATAGCGTACCAAACGAGCCTTACAAATCCTGTTTCTTCACATAGGTTGGTCACCAAATCTTCAAAACGTGTCATTTTAGTCCAACACTCTTTTTTAGAATAAAAATTGAATGATAAAGTTATTCAAGACAAAACCACTCCTCCTGTACCCGTTAGTAGATTTCATGTTTGATGATGTTGACGTTCTTGGTCAAATGACATAAATAAGCTCAAAGGACTTCTGTTCTATATGTACAATTTTTGTTTTACAACGTTCATTTAAACATCTTAATGCTACTAAGTTTCAATTTAATCCTATGTTTATTATAGGTGGATATTAATCCGACTTAATTCTAACCCAGTTGTTATCTAGGTTTACAACACAAGTCCAGTGATCCAACACAACTAAATTCAGTAAAGAGTAATGTTATTTAAATCTACTCGAGTTATAACTCCAGTAATATAATGATACACGGTTATTTTCTTAACGGGGTTTGTTTGCTCACATATGCTTGGTATGGGATTTCATAACATCAAATCTGTTCTGTGTCTTCACGAGGCTTGCATTTTTATGTGGATGTATTGTTATTAAGGCATAACCGAGTAGCAATGCCTTGCATCAGATTCAGCGTATGATCAGTAGGAAATTTTAAAAAACGTTTCAAGGTGCGATCTGCATTGAAGAGGATTGAATTTTTATTTTATTTTATTGTTGGGTCAACTTTCAGCATTCGTGTTGACTGGTTCAATGTTTTGTGGTACCCACGTTCAATTGAAATTAAGGGTAAGATAAGCTCTCTCTCTCTAACAAGAATCCTTCGTACTCTGGTCAAATTCTACGAATATTTCTCTGAATAACAAGATTTTTCTACGTTTTCTTTAGAAACATTGAACACGTTTTGTTCATGTAAACCTTGTAATTAGAACAATGTTATAAAATCAGCAAATTTATTTTGACAGTTCTAGGTCTTGTCTGGCAGCACGTTTTGACAAAATTAAAAGCAATTTTCAGTTCGTTGGAAAGTGAAGTGTGAGAGAAAAGTCCAAAATTTCAGCTGGCAACGGTCAGAAAACGACTGAAAATCTGGGGAAAAAGTGCTGGCAGACAGGCTTCAAGATGATCCTTCGAAAATCGGCAACTGCACGGAATCATAGTCAAGTAATATAACGATGAATAGAGTGTCGAACCCATGAGGGCTATGTCTTTGACCAAGTTAAAATTAATTGCAACATTAATCGAATGACAAACAAATTTTGTGATTTTTTTTTATATTAATACCTAAATTATCAATTAAATTAATGAAAGTAAGTAAATGTGTTTTTTAAATATGTAAGATGTATTGTTAAGATGCCGAATCCCCCTTATTATTCAATTAGTGTAACAATTAAAGTGACGATTTGAAATCATTCATGTTGTCAATGTTCAATAATTTAATTGAAAGCCTCTCTCGATAACTATCAAATTTATTC